AAAAAAAAAAAACCCTAAAATTTCTGTCATGACAAGAAAAAAAAAATAAAAACTCTTAAATTTGCAGAAAGATGTTGAATAGAACAATTATAGTATTTTTTTCCCTAAAAACTTAAAAGATTGATGAGCCATGATCTTCATGGATTGCATTTAAATAAAATCTCACATAAAGATATCTTTAAACTCAAATTCTACTAAAGAGAGTTATATTTAAAAATTAATAACCGACTACAATTCCTCTAAATTCTCACAAATAAACAATACAACTTATATATGCTCATATATCAAAATGTGTACAGTTAGTTTCAATTGAGAAAAAACTAATTTTAGCTAAATCTGTTAATTAATCACTGAAGTAAAAACATCATTAATTTAAGGATGGAAAAACTGTAAAAAGAAGAAACTGATATATGGGTATTTATTATACATGCCAAAATTACTTGCCTTAACTTCCTAGAAATTAATACAGGTTTAGTTCATTTATTGATACAAAATGCTAAGAACTTAATCCAATTAATTAAAATTGAGTTAAAGTACACCAAACTTGATTTAAAATAAATATTACTTCGTACCAACACAAGAATAAAAATTTAAAAAGTTGATTTTAAATTTAGTAATTTCATTTTCAATATTAAGGTGGAAGAATCTCGACTACGCAGCCTGCTCAGTTAATCTCGTTATTTTCGTAGAGAGCTAATAAAAAAAATATATTCTAAAATAAATTACTTCAAGACATCAGTTTTCAAAATAAACTTAGCTGTTTTATTTTCATAATCTTTATGTAATTAACAGTAAATATGCAACTTTATTTAATCCAAGAAATGTAATTATGTTTTCCTTAAATGGATTATAAGGTAATTATGCAAATGATTAAAATCTATTGACTGCTTTTAATTATAAATAAAAATTGAAAAATTATGCCCTAATCTCTCTCGTAAAGGTATTTCTTCTATAAAACATATGTCTTCTGAAATATTTAATGTAACACCTAGATGTTGTTTTATGTAACAGTCTTCACTTCTTTACATATTATTCTAAAAAAAATGCATGCTTTTTTTTTCATTTATTTGCTTCGATTGATTGATTTATTATTAACGTGGCATTCCGCAGTTTCACTAGACTGCTAGAGAAGAATCTTGAATATCTCAACTACGGTCTAATGAAGAAGACGATATTTTAAGCTAGTACCCCTTTCACTAAACTCCACACTATTCCATTTTGCATATTTTGGACCTCGATAGAATAATGCGCATCAACCCTCCCACAGGGTCAGTATTTGAAGCACCATTACTCGAAAGAGACAATGCCGTCTACGATTTCGCTACTGTAATAATTCGGTTGTAGACCGACCTGAGCTGGCACCCCACTCACCAATCTCCATATTAATCCAATTTGAATACTACTTGGCTTGGTGAGTATTTGATGGCACCATTGGTCTACAAAAGCAATGCTGACCATGAGTTTACTACCAAGATAACTTGGTTATACCAGCGAACTGAGCTAGCACCCTGTTTACCAATCTCCATATTAATCCAATTTGAATACTACTTGGCTTGGTGAGTATTTGTGTGTGGTGGCACCATTACTCTACAAAAGCAATGCTAACCATGAGTTCGCTACCAAGATAACTTGGTTATGCCAGCGAACTGAGCTGGCATCCCATTTACCAATCTCCATATTAATCCAATTTGAATACTACTTGACTTGTTGAGTATTTGATGGCACTATTACTCTACAAAAGCAATGCTGACCATGAGTTTGCTACCAAGATAACTTGGTTATGCCAGCGAACTGAGCAGGCACCTCGTTTACCAAAATCCATTTTAATCCAATTTGAATAATTTCACTCACAGTAGAGTCACGCGCCTCCACCTTTCTACATAATGGGTGTTTGGTGGCACCATTACTCGACGGCAACAATGCTGGTCAAGAGTTTACGACATTTGAATTGGCATTCCCTTCTCAATCACACCATGCCAAAGAGGAGTTTGAGCCTCTACAGATTTAAGCTGCACCAACCCCTCTACCTAATACACCTTCAATGGCTCTAAATTTCCAATTAATGGCATGCCGACCACGAGCTCGAACCAGGATAACTAGGCTACAGACACAGAAAGGAAGATAGTTTCATTCATCGTATCGCATCCGACATCTACGTACATCCACGGTGCATCTGTTATGGCAAAAATAGTTTTAAGAAGGTAATGTTTAACAGGTGTCCATGTGACGTTCGCGGTTACACTTTATAACCTGCCAAGGTTTAAATTTCTCACATTAATGGAATGTGGAACGGTGCAACTGTCCTCTAATGGGAGGTATGTCACCTAATTATCCTCGCGCTGCTTTGAAGGAAAATGTTAACAAACAAGTAGAATTAAAAAGAACGGCTCAAGGTCACTTGGTAGTCAAGTAGTCGTGATCATGAACTAATGACCGATGTTCCATGAGTTCGATGCATAGTACCACTGAAGACCCACCGTTTACATGCGTTAATGCATGTTAAATCTGTCATAGCACCAAAGTACTCCTGTAGGTAGTTTCAATAGACAGAACCTGGGAGGATGTAGTGGCGTTTTCGCGTGATACAGCTGAAAAATTTGGATTCTTTTTGTGGATAGGATAACACTGTTTTTGTGCACCGTTAAATATTGCGGGGACTTTTGGTCTGACATGACCCCCAAAACTGATGACCGTGAGAAACCCACCGGCTGGATTCCAAACATGTGAACCAGAAACTCCAAGTGTAATACCAAGTGTCAAGAAAGAACCACCCGATTGGAACAGAGGGGAAGGGTAGTCCGTAGAAAACACCAAAAGAGAAAGGTTGTGTTGCTTCCTACCTCAGAAATAACATATTCTGAACTAATGAGATGATCAATATTGTGAATAACTTCAATGTAATTGTATATACTGTAATTAATAGATGTGTTGTAAATAACTCAAGTATCTAATTTTCTAGGTCTCCATTAATTTTCTCCAACATCATAGTACACATTGATAACCTGACTGCGATTAAAAATTACGAGGTCAGTCACCAATAGGTTTAGAGGTAGACGAGAATAAACACTCGCTTGATATTGATTGTGTTGCTATTTCATACTGATAAATAAGACCAACATAAATTTTTAACTGATGGATAAAATCAACATATATTTTCAATTCCTACTATTAGCTCACACTCTCTATATATTTATTTATTTATTTATCTTGGTGGAATTTTCAATCGTTAATGAAATACATTTTAAAGAGCTCAATTGAGCTGAAATTTTATATACATGATTATTTTGGATGAACATACCAATAATTTAAGTATAATTAATAAAAAAATAATTGATTAAAACTAATTGTTTGAAGAATTACAAATACAGCCACGTTGGCGACAATAGCGACCATTTTTGGCAACCTGTGTCAAAACTTGAAAATGTTTTTTTTCTCACGTTTTGAAGCATTCAGTTAAACTGAAAGTTTATATACACGATTGTTTTGGATGGCAATACGTTAATTAAATGATAATTAATAAAAATTATTTTCCACTTAATGTTGTGATTCTGTCCTATGTATATACATATTTATATTAATTGTAACTATTTAACTAACTAGCTATGTAACTAACTAAAAGTAGCTATAATAAAATTTTTCTTTGTTAATCTAAGTAGGAATTGACTTAATTTTTTTTTTCATATTACTTGTTTTTTAACTGATGGAATGAGATTTGGGGCATATGAGTTCATTATTTCTTGTGTATTTTACACCTTTCACAGATATCTGAATAAAAAAGAATCATTATAAATAGACTGACACTTTTCAGAGCAATCGATGCCTGCGGCATGCTTGATTTTGCAAAACGGAAAGTAAAACGGAGATACAAGCATTTACCCGAATAAAAATCAAGAAAGTAAAGTAGACTTAGACATACAGAAGCAAAAATCCCATATTTCAGATAAAAATCATACCAAAAATAGTACATATAGATTGCTACATGTATGTATTTGCTTGGAAACTCTAGAGACGAATAAAATATCAAAATGTTTTCTTTTACTCCAAGAAACTTTAGAAAACTACATTACGTGGTTTTGAGCGTTGATATATAAAACCTAGCCAAATATATTTATCCTCCCCTCGTAAATCAAATAACAGGGCTAAGAGAACTTTGAAATGTATTAATATAAGTCTTTTAAGAGGAAAATATGTTACATGTTTTCGATGAAAATATATAAAGTTTCAATATTTCAGGTAAATATGGTTCTTTCCACGTAAAAGATGTGTTTATTTTTTAAAAAATCCTCTTTAATATTTTTAGTAAAAAGTGTTTAAAATGGACAAAAATGTGTTTTATCTCTATACAAGACACTGGCGTAAATAGCTCTGAGGGGGCCTTGTATCAAAATTCCTTCTGGGCCCTTTTTTAGATATGGTAGCGATGTTAGTGGGACTGTAGTTACACATGTTGGAGCCCCTGTAGCTTGGGGGTTCCGTATCAGCCGTATCAATGATACGGGGCACAAAATGCGTAAACAAAAAATTTTAAAAATGTGAAGAAACACCCCCAAAAATAGTCCCCCAAAGAATTTTTATAGAGGGCCCACTCAGCTACGCTAGTGTATGAAACATGTGTGTGTGTTTTGACTGCAGATGATTATCTCACACAAACAGTTTCATAAAAAAAGTGTGTGTGTGTACTTATGTACGCACGTAAGAAGTTACACTTTGGCGTAACAAGATTAAAATCTTTCTAAAAATCTTAAGCAGGACAAGCTGGGCCAAGGACGAAAGGTGGTCACGAGCAGATTTGAACGATACTAACCCTCAGTCAATCAGAACACCCAAACCTGAGATAATCATGATTTAAATAAATTTAAACACCCCTGCACAGGGACAATAGGACCAATAATATTGGGAGGGGGTCGAAGGCGGGAATGATCTGTCCCGTTCTGCATATTTCTAGACAAAGCATTTTCGTATTCGTTCCTACGGAACGCAAAGCAACGATTCGCTGAAGCGGAGGTATAGCTCGGCGGTACAGCATTCGACTGCAGATCGAGAGGTCCCCGGTTCGAACCCGGATGCAATATTTTTTTTTTGAGATTCGAAGGCGGGAATGATCTGTCCCGTTCTGCATATTTCTAATTAAAGCATTTTCGTATCTGTTCCTACGGAACACAAAGCAAAGGTTCGCTGACGCGAGTGTATAGCTCAGTGGTAGAGCATTCGGCTGCAGGTTGAGCGGTCTCCGGTTCAAACCGGTTGACTCCTTCTTCAGGGAAGATAAGCGAAATATTTTTCTGAGAATTTCGAAGACGGGAATGATTTGTCCCGTTCTGTATATTTCTAGCCAAAGGAGTTTCGCATCCGTGGCGGTGTGCTCACGCATTGTATAAATTTACCCTAATCCTATTTCTCTAACGCCCCAAAAGAAGTATTTCAAAAATTATTTAGATAAATTATTCATGTTTAACATTTGTATGAATATATTGCGCGCTAAGAAACCAGAGTAGAATTAACTTGGTAATTTTTGGGGCTTAGGGTTAAATAATTCCTTGTGCCCGAGTTAGCCAAGTGGTTATGGTCATGAACTAGTCTAGATGCTTGTTCGAAAGCTACTGCAACTGAAGACCCTTCATGTAGAACAGCTGATGCACATTCAATCTTTGAAGGCTGAAAGTAATTTCATTGGCATGGTGTGGAAACTCGGAGAAGGCTGTGTCCGCTATGATGCTGTTCTCACCACTTAACCCTGATTCAAAATTACGATGTCTACTTTAGTTTGGGATTGCATGTTTAAACTTGTATGTAATTTTTAAAATTTTCTTCTGGGTCTTTTCTGTGAAATATGTTAGCGATATGAGTTAGGCTCAATGTAGTCTGGATGAAGGGTGGTGGTTTCCCGAAGAACTATGCTGTAGCACTAAACCTTGTTAGGTGAGCTCAATTCCTTTGACTTTCCACTAATAACCTTTGAACGGTTCAGAGTGTGAGGTAAATTAAAATCAAATCAAGTACACTTTTCCTTAAGAATTTCAAATAATTTTGATACGACGTGCCCTTCATAATAAATAGAACATAGCTACAAAAAAAGTTACAGTTAAGGGAGAAATTGTTATGGAATTTATTTTGAAATAACTAGAATGCCTTCTCATACATAAATGTCTTAATACATTTGTGGAATATACTATTTTCTTGGCTGCTGATAATCAATTTAATTTAGAGAATATTCAACAATTTATTTATTGATGTTACCCATATCTCAGTTGGTTTTTAAGTTTAACTCTTTATGAAGAAGAAAAGTGTAGTATTTAATACACTAAATTATGTGTGCAATAACCTGGTTGATAAAAGTATAAACTCTTAACCAATGGATTTTAAGATCGAGAGTTAGAATCCCCATATGACAGATTCTTGGACTGTAAATATGTTACGATTCAAATTTACCCTGTTGACATNATCTCGATTACTCTTTTGTCCTTCATTGTGTGATTTTCCTGCTGTCTATGTGTTTGTCGAATGTTATTGTTTGGATGTTATCTCTTGTTAGTAGAGAATTGGCCTATATATATATATATATATATATATATATATATATATATATATATACTGTTGCTTGAATTTTAATTTAAGCAACAGTTTGAAATTAATCAGAAATATTAATATTTTGAAAATTACTGATTGTGTTAAGAATTTGTATTCGGAAATTGTACAAATACGAAATATAGATATATATATATCTATTGAAAAAGAACGAATTTGAAAAGCTATTTTTCTGTATCAGGTAAGAAAAGAGAGAGTGAGAGAGAGAAATTGCTTCAAAAATGAAGTTTTTATTTTTCAAAAAATATATGACTGATATTTAACATGAAGATTTATCGTCCGAAATTATTTGATTAACATTATAGTTTAATACTTTTATACAAGTAGGAGTTAGTTGAATTGTATGTCCTTTAAAGAATTTGGAGACCGTAGATTATTTATCGAACCTGGCTCTCTTCCTAAACCTGGAACGCGGTCCTTTTTTGACTGCGCGACGACCGATGCAGCATTCATAGAAGGTGTACTGTTCATGGATTGGGAAAAGTTGCAGCCTCTGTTAGTCACTGGACTAGAACACCTAAAGGTCGATAGAGGACCGACTTAGCTCTAGGTGGTATCCCATTTAGTCTGACTCCTACCCTACGAGGACCTGTCTGGTATGGGAGAACCTACCGGTAGTTAGACTGCCACCGGCATAGCTCCCAGGGTTGTCAGAGTACTCAAGTCCCTCCAGCACGTCAAACTAAGAGTACCAATGGAAGAGAAAATGGATCCTCGTTTGCCTAGGGCTTATCAAGCAGGATTTAGCAGACGATCCCTTGCTGGTGTCAGAATTTTTGAAAGTGTACGATGTCATGGACCTGGTCTAGCACTGCTGACCAATGGGGGCGTGCAACAACAACATCAACTTGAGTTATTATTCCTATCAAGATTTTGATATATTCTATGATGGAATTAATAAAAGTTATCATCAAATGTTTACTATTCAATAAAATTTTTTTTTTTTAAATTACATGGAATATTCTTTTAAAGAAGAAACAAACGCACTTTTGAAACATTAATTTAAAGATTAACCTTTAATAAAAATTAATTTGGACAGGTGTAATTCTGCATTGTTATTCAATGTTTTTTGGACGAAGAAATAAAATGTGAGTTTTATAGAAAGCAAGAAGAATTAGGATTAATTAAATGACGGATAAATTAAGGTTTTTACAGAATTAACTACGTGATTGTTAAAAATCCGGAAATGTTGGATGCAGTTATGTATTTTTGTACCACAGAGAACTGACAAGATCAATAATCAATTGATCTTTAAAAACTAAAATGTTTCTCGTAATTTTAAAAATAAATTATTGTAATCATATAGCTGATGAATTTCAGCTACATTACTTGATTATTTCACAACGACTCTCCAATAAAGTTATACATTTGTGGCGGTGTGATATCTATATGAAGTAGTACCAACATAACGCGAAGACGATCGTCTTGGCGTGATTGGTTAAGTACTCGCGTTCGGAACGGATGGTATCCAGAACGAACCTTCCTCCTTCATTGGTGACCCTGGCCGCAAAGGAACCGCACCCTTCACGTGCCGCTGTCGTGGTGCCATCTATCCACCGCAAAAGCAACCAAACCGTCAAACATTGACGCAAATAAGCCGTTACTTCTCAAAGCCGTCTAGCACGAATGACGCAACCCACCAAGTGACTCAACTGCTTACATGTTCGCCACGAATATGGTATCGTTTGTTCGCCTATTCGCCGAAACACTGACAGGGGAGTATGTGGCGGTGTGATATCTATATGAACCAGTACCAACATCACGCGAAGACGATCGTTTTGGCGTGATTGGTTAAGTACTCGCGTTCGGAACGGAAGGTACCCAGAACGAACCTTCTTCCTTCACATTTATAAAGCGTTAAAATTTTCATTTAATATATATTGAAAGAAAATGAAAGTAAGATCAATTCATTCGAAGTGGGGGCTTATTTAATATGAT